GACCCACACTGAAGCAGGCTGTGCCTGAAGGACAGCAGCCCATGTGCAGTGTGACCCACTTTGCAGCAGTTTGTGGAGAACTGTTGCCTGTGGGATGAACTCATGCTGAGTTCATTGAGAAGTTATCTAAGAACCATCTCCTGTAGGACGGACTCCACACTGGAGAATGGGAAGGACTCCACTCCCTGAGAAATGGAGGGAAAAACCTGTGATAAATTGACCACAATCCCCATTCCCATCTCCCTGCACTGCTGGGGGAAAGGAGGTAGAGCTTGGGAAGACGAAAGAGGTGGGGGGAATGTGCTTTTTAAGATTTATTTTACTTCTCACTATCCTGTTCTGATTTGGTTGGTAATAAATTAATATCCCTAATTCGAGTCTGTTTGCCCTTAGGTGTTTGCTGAGTGATCTCCCCTGGTCCTTATCTCAACTCATGAACCTTTATTATATTTTCTCTTCCCTGTCCAGCTGACAAGGCAAATGACAGATCGGCTTTGGTGGGTGCCTGGCATCCAGCCAGGGTCAACCCAGTACACACAGTTAAACTTTGCAGGGTGCATGTTTATCAAACACTGTACTGAAATAAACTCCAAGCATCGCCCAACTTAAGTTTTATGCCTGTGTGTTAAGATACAAGAGACTAGTGCATAAAATTAAAGTGGAGTCAAAGCTGAAGCAGAGGCTAATTGGCAAAATAAATACTACATATTTGCTGTTCTCAGCCAGATAAGTCACATTTGCATCATTTGATAAGTGCAACAGCCAATTTCCTTCCAGTTTCCTTAAACGTTAAAAACGCCTCTTGAAGAAACCTCCTCAAGGCCTGGCCCCACAATTATGCAACCAATTTGAAGGCACCTCTTCACATCCATGAGGTTACCCATTTAATTTCTGATGCCTTGAAAACTTCAGAGCGCATCTTTCATGGATCAACAGTAACTTTCTCCTTCAAAAAAGAAAAAAATTAATTCCTATTAACTTTTACGACAAGGATGAGAAAACACCTCTAGACAGGCCTTAGGTTTCAACGCCAAATTATTTCTAATTTTCCATAGTCCACAAAATGCGACCCTCACCCCCTCCCCCTTTTACTGATTTCACTGCTTTTACGTGAGTGCCAGTGGCCCCCGCGGAGCGCCGTCTGCGTTCTACGTGGGGACCCGGGGTCCAGCACCGCACCCCGCTGCTTTCCGCAGTCCTTGTTGTTCCCAGCAATTCCCGCCGGCAGCCGCGCCCCGCGCCGGGGTGACCCGAGGCCGGCCAAGCCACGGCCCTCGACCCGCGTCCGCCCCAGAGCGGAGGCACCGCACCCTAAAAACCCGAACCCTAAAAACCGCTCCTCGCCGCGCAGACCCGAGCCCAAGCCTGCGGCGGAGGCGCAGAGCCTCCGGCCCGCACTCCAGGGCCGGGCCGGGCTGGGCCGCGGGCCTGGCGGCTCGCGGGGGGGGCTCGCCTGGCATGGAGGGGTCGGGCGGGGAGGGGGTCCCGGGGCACCGCTTCGCTACGCGGGCGCACGCCGAGCCCCGGGCGGCGCAGCGCGGCCGAGCCGCGGAGGAGGCGGCGGCAGGAGGAGCCGCGGGACCGAGCGCCGCCGCGCCGCCCCCGCCCCGCCGCCCCGACCGCCGCCTCGCCCGCCCCGCACAGGCCCCCGGCCCACTCGGCCGCACCGGCCCCGCGGGCGGGCGGGCGGACGGCCCGAGGCGGCGGTGGCGGCGCGCTCCCTTCCGCCTGCTCCTGGGCTCTCTCGGGCAGTGACGTGACGTGCTGACGGCGGGCCCGGCCCGGGGAGCTTGGCCGCTTCCACTCAGCTCCGAGCCCCGCCGCAGCCGCCGCCGCCGCCGCCGCGCTCGGCCCAGTCGCGCTGAGAGAGGCCGCGCCGAGCGAGCGCCGCCGCCCGCCACCCGCACGGTAAGAGCCACGGGCCGGGCCCTGCCGCCCGCCCGGCCCGGGCCTCCCCCTGCCCGCACAGGCCGCGGCGCAGGCCGCGAGGAGGCCGCAGCTAGGCCGCGACAGGGCTCCGCCACAGGAGCGGGCCGCGGGCTCTGCGCCGGCGGGTCCTGCGCGCCCGACGCGGCCCGGGGCGGCGGGGGAGGTGGCGTGAGGAACGCGGAGTGGAGGTGGGTGACTGCGGGCCCGGGGGAAGGCGAGTAGGGCCGGTGAGGGGCAGCGGGCCCGGCCGGGGGGGGCTCGGAGGTGTCTGGAGGAGGAGACAAAATGGCGGCGCGCGGGGGGGGGCGGAGGGCGCCGGCGCCATCTTGAATTAATCGCTCGCACAGCCGGGGCCCCGCGCGGGCCGGGCCGGGCTGGGCTGGGCCGGGCCGGGCGGGGCGGGGGAGCCTCGGGGCTCCGGCAGGGACCGCCCGCAGCCTCCACACCCTCCCCGCCTCCCGCTGCCACACTGCGAGGCGCAGCGGAGCGAGGCGCGTTCGGCCCGCGGCGGCTCCCTGCGCGGCCGAGCGGGGCTGCCGGCCGGGTCGTCTCCTGCCCCGCCATCTCCTTCCTCTCCTCCGGCCGGGGATTCGGGCGGCGCGGGCTCGGCAGCGCCGAGAGCTCTCCCGCAGCCGCCTTCGCTCACTCGCCCCGTAAGCAGCCCCCTAATTCCCTTGGGGCCCCCTTGGTGCTGGTTCAAAGGTGCGCCTGGGGATCGGACATTTCCCTAATTCAGGTTTCGTTAAGAATTAGCTTATTTGCTTTGGAATTACTGTCTGGCGCACAACATCTCAGTGAAATCTGGAGAAAATCCTTTTCTTAACCAATTTCTACAAATACCCACCACTGAACTACAACAAAGAGGAGAATGACTTGAGGGGATTTTTTTACGAAATTGCAATGAAAACAGCAGCACTGATTCTCCTGCCAAAATTGAGGGAGATGCGTCAAGAAATTAGCAACTGAATGATCACATTGTTACATTTGTAACATCGTTTTTGTTCCTCCTTTTCTCCACCTAGTACTAACGGGGGTCATTTTCAAGGCAGGAATTAAATCCTATAGGAGGGTAATTTTTTTTTTTTTCTTTTGCTTTTCGTGTGTGTGTGCCTGGCATTCCCCACAAGTGGGTCACGTCAGGCGAGTTGTGACACTGCAGCAGTGGCGTGGACCGAGCCCAGAGCTGCCTCGGGAGCAGCGCGAAGCCTGGGTGGCTCGGGGCTCTGACCCAATTGGGACATGCCAGGCGTGCCGCAATTTTTAATGGGCTGTAGCAAGGCACGACGGGAACATGGTTGTGGCTGTACACTAAGTCATCCCAGCGTGGGTTGGGGCCAGCACTTGCACGTGGGGAATTTTGCTAGTTTATGCCTTGATTTGTACAATTTCGCTGCCTGGGTATTTAGTTTGTGGCCTTATTGTAAATTAGAAGCAGGCAAATGACTATGCTATGTATATATTTTTCACTAGGATGGCTCTTCTGAAATTTCCCTTTTTTTTCTCTTTTTCATTTTTCTCCATTTCCTTTTTTCTTTTTTGTTAATGAGAGCAGAGAAACAGTTTCTATGGAATATTAAACCTCTTTTAAGGAACTCTATTTTTAAAGTTGCTCCTTCCTTAAAACATGACAGCTTGTCTATTTCTTTTTATTTCATCTTGATTACCTTGCTAGATCTATTGAACCAAGGACTAGTGCACTGTCTACATTGCTTCTCTTTACTGATTGTTCTCACTTGTATTTTGGAAGATTATTGCTAGTATAGTAATACCTTTTCTTCCATTAATATTTAATTTTCCATCTGTCCTTCCACTTGAAAATGTTACCTTGACTTCCATAAAGCCAAAACCAGCCAAGTCTGAGTAAATAGGTAAGAATCAGTTTGTAAAGACTAACTGAACAGAATTAAGTGTATTGCAAAGTTATATTAGTTCTTGATCCATGTGAAGCTGGAATGGACCCAAGTCAGGTAAAAGGTGTAGATGTTTAGTTCTTTTCAGAGGTTATAAAACCTGATTCTGGGTGCCTCCATTTTTTTTGTCACAGTGGTAGAAAAGTGTTACCAGGATTCCTGATATTTGAACAAAGAGCCACACAGTTGAGAAGGACTAGGTGTAGGGACATGGCTGGGCACCTGCTTTTCTTTGAGAATTTGGGTTCCCAAGCTGGAGCTGAAAAATTGATTCTGTTGGCTTTGATGCCACAACCAGGTCCTGAGGTGAATGTCAGCTAGAATGTTTGGAAGGATTGAGAGGAGTTTCTGTCCTTCCTGAAATCTTGCAGAAAAGCGAACAGCTGGAATTACTTCCTAGCCTTTATGGTACCACAGAGCTTGGGATGCTTGCCAGGGAGTTGAAGATGTTCTCAGTGGTGCTTGCAAGAAGCAGCTCTGGTATTTCTCATGTCACAGAGCTGCCATTACAGGTACAGAGCCCGGTGGTGTTCTTTCCTTTGTGTGACTACGTCTTGTGCCCCTGTGCTCACCCTCTGCTCAGAAGAGCAAGCAGGAAGAAACAGTGTTTTCTCATCTCCTGGTTAGAATGCTCAAACCCTGAAGTGATTTTGGGAATCTTTTTGTATTTTTTTACCTCAGCCGTTGACAAATTATTTTATGCCTTTTTGGACTGCACATTCTGATTTGGACACTTTCATTATTTCAGATAGTTCAGTTAATTCCTGTTTTAAGTGCCTGCATTCTCTTTTGGTCTTCTTATGGCAAATTTCTATGGATGTGGGGCCTGTGTCCTTGTGGAGCACTTTCAAACTCTTTATGGTCCTGCACAGGGGTAAGAGTTGATGTGCATTGACGTGTTGGCTCGGTCTGTATGCTAAAGCACATTATGAGAAACATTTAGTAAGAGATTGACTGAGTGAAAGCATAAAGTTTGGTTCTGCTCTGGAACAAGCACCAAAGCAAATGTTGATGGCTTTTTTAAGACTCATGTCCATGCCCATGTGCCCAGGAAGTGTATTTGGTTTGTTGGAGCCTGAGCCTTTGTTTTGAGCACATTTTGCCAGTGTAGGTGAAAAGACCTGGCCAGTACAGAAGAGGCCAGAGTTATACAGTGTGCAGGTGTAGAGTGTGCTGGGCTGTCAGTGCTGTGAAACTGCACCTCCTGAACACCACGGGGACATTTTGGGTTTAGCATCTGTTGCCTGGAATCCAGGCAGCAGCAAGAATAACAGGAAAAGATTGTGTCAGCAGGACTTACAGGAAGCTGAAAAATAGTGATGGAGACCTCCGTGTCTCATGGGTGAAGAGGATAGACAGAAGGACAGTGAAAGAGTGCCTCATTTAGTGAAGTGAGGAATTTAGGGAACAGATAGGATAGGGAAACTACAGGCATGAATCATAAGAAGTAGAAATTTGTGGTGGAATGATGCTCAGGTGGGTGGTGAAAGCCGGAAGCAGAGAAAACGAATGCCAGTTCTTCCAGCAGCCGGTGGTGAGCTGACACTTCAGGCTGGTCAAGTTGCAGCAGATCACAGGCTGATGTGTTTGATAATACAGCCCTCAAAAGCACAGGCACAAAGGGCACCTGAACTTTTCCCAGAGAGCTGGACACAGAATTCCATCTTCTTATGTCTGTGTTGTGTGAGGAGAGAGGCAGTCTTACTTCTGCCAACCCTTTGTACCCTTTTCCCTGCTACCAAAAATACCCCTTGCTGATACAATCTTTGCTACAAATGGATGAGTAGCAGAGGTTTGTGTGAATGATGGGAGTCTACTGTAGTTAGAAGCTGGAGGGATGAAATGAGCAAGGTGAGGTCATGAACGTAATATTGGTGCAGGCACACCAGAAGTTGGAAAAGAAGCATCAGAAGAGAAGAAACTAAACAGTGAAGGCAATCGGAAAATATGACAAATGGGAAGCGCATTGGTAGTAGATTGGCTGGGTATATACCGAATAGATGGGAGGAAAGCAATTTGGGTATGAATAATTCTTGCTAGAATTACTGTATGGAATTTTGTTACTCTGTTCTTGTTTCTGTGGCATGGCAGAAGTTGGTTGTCATCAGTCAAGCTATTTCTTGCATCTGAGGCTGGGAAACACTTCTCTTCTGCTCTTGGTTCTGAATAAAAGCATTGGGTGAAGAGCTGTTCCTCTTAATAGTGGGCACTTCTGGTGGAAATGCTTGACAGTCAGAATAATTGGGAGGTGATTTATGTCCAGTTGGATACCACAATGAGTTGTTAGGACAGCTGTCTTTAAAATACAGAGGCCTTCCAGCTGAGCATCACACAAATACAGAACACCTGGGAAAATTATTAGTGTTCCACTATTTTTCATTCAGTTCAATGTCTGGCTATATTTCTCCTTCAAGTTCTATAAAATATAAAGCCCGAGTGACTGCACTGGAGGCTGGACAACACCCGAAGGAGAGTTCCAGAGGTGAAGAGTTGAGAAAATTTGGGCTAAAAAGTGGGGCAAGTTTAGGAAATACTTGCTTTAGATTATGGGTTTAGATCTGTGTTTTGGACTAGTTAATTTTTTCTTTTTTGTAGCACTTTCTCTGGTAAAGGCTTAATGAATGCAAATGTTGGTTGATGTAATTTGAAAGGGTTATGATTCTTATGGAAACCTTGGGTAGAATCTTGATGTTTTGTTTGTCTTTTATGAAAGTATCACAGAAATGGGGAGCTTTCTGCCTGTGACTGTGAAAAATGTTTGAAGGACGAAAAATAGCATCTTCCACTTCTACAGAAATACAAGCAGAAACATGAAGCAACATTCTCTTGCCTCTTGTTCATTCTGCATATAGGAAAATAGTTGGACTCAAATGCAAGGGAGTAGTACATATTTATGTTAGACTGCATTTTACCTAACTAGGTTTGCCTGATCTTAACTGTAATGCACATATGTAAGCAGCAGAATTTAGATTGCAGTTTCACTTTTTTGAAAGTATTTTAACTTTGTGGTCTTGTTTGGTTCTTCCATTAGGAAGATTGAAATCCTAAATCATTAGGCATTGAAATGTTGTCATGCTGTTGAAAAATTTTGATAGAACATGACATCTGGTAATTTTTGAGAAGAACTAACTTGTGATACTTGTGGTACTTTGTCTTAGGGCAAGAGTTTTGAAAATATTTACAGATCTAAGTGTGAAAAAATTTGACGTTATGCTCTGGAAGCAGTTCACATTGATTTTAGTTCCTGAAGTGACTTAAGAGTGAACTCTTCTTGACTGTTCAAGAATGAACACGAGGACATCAGAACTGGTGTGCATTTCAGATATGAGCTCTCTATGTTTAACTTATATTGAGCCTTAATGATTTGACAGTTCTTTATTCCTTCCCTTCCCATAGGGACTTGAGTTCCTTGAGTAGGAGTATGTCTAGGCTTTATCTTAATTTCTTTTTTGTTGTTGTTGTTTTTTGTTGTTAGATGATAAGGAAACAGTATTTTCACATTCCTTTATGAGTTGGTTCTGTGTTTGTGAAGCCATAGGGTTTTGAGAAATGGACCCAGAGTGTTGGACCTCACACTCTGTTTCAGACAGTGGATGTTTGGTTATCCGGAGTGGTATTGTTAGAATCCCAGACTGAGGGACCCTGAGTGAAATCTGATTCATCTTAAAGTCAAGAGGTGCTGCATGTTAATTTCCACGCACCCAAAATTTCAATTTTTCGGTGCATAGAGAGTGGCAACCTTCTTCACCTAATACAAGTGAAATAACCTTTCTTCTTTGTCTTCTACAGACACTGTGACTGATGAGAGTTAAAGGCCATGGATGAAGATGGGCTTGAATTGCAGCCACATGAGCCAAATGCATTTTTTGATCCAACAGGTCTGTAAGGAGATAATACGTAGATAAGAGTGTTCACATTAGATGCAATTGACTATTGTTTATTCTGCCTTTGCTTGGAAGTGCTGTGCTGCATCAATGCTTTTCTATAGAGTAGTCGCTTTTGAGTTTGGGTTGTTTTTATTACTCAGAGCAATATGAATGAGCTACTGTTCTTCCAGTCAAGTAATAGTTGTTTCGGTATTGGGGGAGAGTCTAAAAATTTCAAATCTTTTCTGGGAGAGAAAGTCTTGCTCATCTTAATTATGTTAGCATCTGCTTTGGACTTGCTTTATCTACCTATCTTAATAGTTCATTTGCTGTTATTCCTGTTTTACTAAAGTGCAGCATAGCGTAAAAGTTGAAGTGAAACAGAAGTAGTTTCAATTATTAACCACCTCATGTGAGACAGTTTTACAATTTAAGTATTGTTTTAATTGTGTTTTTCAGGAGCTGATGCAGCACATATGGATGGAGATCAGATTGTTGTGGAAGTACAGGAAACAGTATTTGTTTCAGATGTAGTCGACTCAGATATAACTGTGCATAATTTTGTTCCTGATGATCCAGACTCTGTAGTAATCCAGGATGTCATTGAGGATGTTGTTATTGAAGATGTTCAGTGCCCAGACATCATGGATGAGCCAGATGTGTCTGAAACAGTCATTATTCCTGAGCAAGTGCTGGACACAGACGTAGCTGAAGAGGTTTCTTTGGCTCATTGCACTGTCCCGGATGATGTTTTAGCTTCTGACATAACAGCAGAGACAATGTCTATACCAGAACATGTACTGACAACTGAGTCAATGCATGTACCTGAAGTTGGACACGTAGAACATGTAGTTCATGATAATGTTGAAGAAGCAGATATTGTCACTGATACTCTGGGAACAGATGTTGTTTCTGAGGAAGTCTTGGTGGCAGACTGTGCATCAGAGGCAGTGATCGATGCTAATGGAATCCCTGTGGAACATCAAGATGAGAAGGGCAACTGTGATGATTACCTTATGATTTCCTGTAAGTGTTTGGGTAAAGCCATCAAAGTTCTCATGATACGGGCTTGAAATATCTGAGGGAGGGCTTAAGATCGTACCCAAAGCAGAGTTTCTGTATTTTTTATTGAAGTGCAGATCTCACAAATGTACTCACACGGAGGGATTTTTTGGAGCGTGTACCAGCCAGAAGTTCTGGTGAAGCTAATGGAGAGAAATACTAGCAAATGCACCTCTGCTTATCAGTTATTTCTGTAGCAATTTATAGCATATGAACAAAAGAGTAAGAATTCCAGTAAACCATGTGCCATATACTTACTAAGAACTGAAAGAAAATTAGTGTGATGATGTTTAAAAATGCTTCTATGTGCAGGTTACTAAGCTGACTACTAAGACATTAGAGAATCAAAAATACTTCATGGAAAAGAAAGAGTAAAAACCCATGGTTTCTTAAAATCCAATTCTCGACCTTTTTTTTTGCTAAGACCCCACCTCTTGCACTCCATTTATTGTTGGATACAGCCAGCAGCATGGTTTTATTTGCTGTTAAAATGTGTTTTCTTCTCTTGATTAAGCAAAAGACAGAGGTATGCAGCTAAAAAAAAGAGTAGCTATTGCTGGTCATAACTGAAAAACTGGGAAGTGAATATCTTAATCTCCCTTAGGAACAGTGGCACAATCCATTTGAATCGTATTTCAAAAGGCTTAAATAGAGAGTGGAGAAAAATAGAGCATATCACCAATGCTTTTTCTACTGAGGATATCCTTTTGTGTGAACTAGAGTTTACTCTGTTACTTATAGTGATTACTCAGTGCAGCACCTAGGAACATCACAGTGTCATGCTGAACATTTATTTATTGTAGAAATAGAAAAGCTGTGTTAGGCTTGTTTGTTTAATTGCCATTTCAGGCACTTGAGTTTAGTGTGGTGTTAAATGATTCCATTGATGAGGTGTACTTCGTGCTCTGCTTCAGTTATCTTTTTTCTTTTTTTTTTTTTCTCCTTCCCCCCCCTTTTTTTCCCCCTTCTTTACTATTGGACACATTTTTGAAATGTATAATAACTTGTTTTAATTTTATATTCTGTACTTACGAATTTTAATGTTGCTTCTCCTTACCTAGGATCACTGCATTTCTTAATTTATCATCTCTTGAGTTCCTTGAGTAACCTTGTTGCAGCCATGTTTTGAGTTTATATGAGGTACAGTTAATTCTCTATTATCTGGGAAAACAATGAAATGGGATAATGCAAAATATGGATCACACAAAATACTGTAAATTAAACTGAAGGATTGTACTGAGGTGAAATAGGTCAGGGGATCTGTTCTGAAATTGTATTGATCCAGACTGATAAATGCACTCTTGTCTAGTGTGGTACAGATAAAACTTTCTGATACTGGTCTCAAGCTGAATCAGATGAAAACAGCTCAAAGGCTTCTGAACCTGCTGTGTAGTTAGACAACAAACTGGATAATCTGTCTATGGATAATTGAGGCCTGATTCTGGTGGAGATCCTTCCCTCTTCCATATCCCTGACTGTAGCTCTTCAAGGCACTGTTGCTCCTGTCTCTGCTCACTCCTCCTGTGCAGGTTCTCCTCTTGCAGCAGAGCAGGGACTCTGAGCTGCTGCCATGGAGCACTTTGCAAACCATGTCTGTGTAAATCATGGAGAGGGATGGGTGGATGTGTGTCCTGTTCATCGCTGGCAGTGGCTGAACAAGGACAGAAAGTCTTGATAGAGGCCATTTTTGATGATCCCTGTCTAGCTGGGAAAGCTTAGATGTACCAGTTGTCAACACGTGGTGACTGGCAGGAAGCACAGAAATTTAATTGTTCACTTGTGCTGGGGTATTCTCCATTTTCAGTCACGTATTTCTGGAGTTTCATGCTTTATTTATCATTAAATGTCTCCTGCAGTGTACTTTGTTTAGATTCAGAACCTTAACTAAGCCACTATTTAAAATATTCGTTACTCTACAAAATATGCATTATATTTGTGTTTAATGTTTTACAGTTCATTTTAAAGGGAAGTCCCTACTACCACCTACTGTGTTTAAAGCCTGCATAACAAGTTCTTCTGGTTGTGAAGGCAGAGTCTGGTGCTTTTCCATCAAGTAGAGGCTGTCTTGCCAAACAGTCTCTTTGTTGTATGAAAAATACTATTTGACTTAATTTTTTTATTATTTTTTTTGTTTGCATCAGCAGTATACGTGTTCATTGATCTGATGCCTGTCTCAGTTCTTCAGTTGAACTTAGTTTTCAAAAGGTGGTAACATCCAGCCAATTCAGTTTTGGGTTTTTCATCCTAACTTGTAAATTTGTGTTTGATTCTGGCAAACTCCCTGAACTGCAGGGGCAGATGTTGTAATGTAATCTTGTCTGCCATTACAGTAGCCAAATGTTGCTGCTTCCCAGATCTGGGAGCTAGACTGTGTTCTTCAGAATGCCTTTGCCTGTCTTCTCTTAGCTAGGCACTTGAAAAGCAGGGGATGACACTTCATGTTCTTTCTGTCGTAGGTTTCTCCATCTGTTTTCTTCAGTGGAAGCTATTGGCAAAATCTTTTTCCTATTTTGTGTCTCTCTTTAAGCATTTCCATTTTTGTTCCTAATGAGCTGAGTATACATGTATCTTCTTGAGATAATTTTCTTAGCTTTATCCTGAAAATTCGTGATTTGAAATGATTAATCTGTGTGTACATTTTTTTTAATGTTGTGTTTCTACCTTCTTTCTTGGTTTCAGGCTAGTTTGTCTTTTCAATGAGTACAGTTCCTGTGGGTTTCATTTTGTGACTTTGCTTCAATGAGCTCAGTATTTTAATACTTCTTTTCCCAGTTAAATTTAATTTAGCTTTGGCATTAATATCCTTTTGCTATCTTCATTTTCAAGGTAATGTTTCTTGGCGCCGCTTTATATCGCCAGTTACTTTTTGATGTACTAAATTTTTTTCTTGGATACTTTGTCTTTGCCCTCAAGATTCATTCTTGTTCCATGGTAGATTTGGGGCACTTACAGCAGAGCAGAATATAAACCTACTAGTTAGTGACTTGAAAAAGATGAAAAGAGGTTTGATACCTTTTTTTCTTCTGCATGTTCCATAACAAGCCAGTTCATGAGTTGGGTCAGGAAAGTATAAATTGTGCTGTGACTCACACTGGTAGTAATTATTTGGTATCTTGGAAAACCATTTCTCTGTAAGTGAAACAGTAGTGGTGAGATTAACTGGTGTTTGTCAAAACAAAACAAACATCCTGCATTTACTAACCAAGGAAAGCAGTGCCCTGTGCCTGGCAATGGAGGCAAGATGGAAATTGAAATTTTTTTTTGTCTGATTTCATTCTGTTTGGCGAAGACAGACACATCCTCTGGCATTAACTGATTCTATAAGATGAAAAGTTGTATCCTGATATACTCTTACTGCAGTAAAAATAGTGAAGCACAGAAGTTCAGGGGTAGTCTGGAAAGAGTGAAGGACAGCCTCACAAGGCTTAAACTGCAGCTTTAAGAATTTAAATATTTGCAAATATGGGAGCTCTGTTGTATCCACCCATCCATCCCCTTGCTTTTCTCTGAGTTAGACATGTCTCTTGTTTGTTTTATCTGAATTAATACTTTTCATTACAGGAGTCTGAACCCAGAGTAACTCACAGAGAGAGAAAGGTTTCACCTAGGCCTGTGAAAGCCCATCTTTTTTTCATCCTTGTTGGATGTTTAAGTTGAAAGCAATGGATCTGATGAACCAAGCCATAGGGTTCATGCTTTTCCTTAGGGCCATCCAGTAGACTTGGAGTCAAGAAAGCAAAATGCTTTCAATTGCTTTTTTGACCTAAATATCTCTCTTTTTTTTTCCCTGGAGGTTGCTAAAGATGCAGGAAATTAAATTTTTCTTCCTCAGAGGTAGAACTTGCTGCCCTGCCTCTGTCTGGCCACTGGAGTGGCACCAGCAGTTGCAGTTCAGGCTGCTCAGGAGGTTGCCCTGAGAGGTGATGGAAATAAGAGTTACCTTGGGCTGAGTGATGTCTCAGAGTTTGGTCTGTGTGCTAGGGGCAGAGGATGAGAGGGACAGGTGTTAAATCCCAGTTGGGAGCTCAGGAATTACACCTCTACCAGATAAGTATCCTGGGGGGACCTTTAGATGCATAGGATATACTCATGTGTAAAGGCAATGGATCAAAATGAAAATGGGATAGATTTCTCTTTTCCTGTAGGTTAGGAAACCTGCTTTGCCATTCAAGAAATAAGTGTGTGGTAAAAATAGCTTCAGTGGACTGGGAATTGTCTGATGTTGAGTGAAGTAGATGTTTTTGTCACAAATAACTGAACAAAGTCAGGGGAAAACAGAATGCTTTTAATCTGTTTTAGAGAGAATAGTTAGTAATGTTTTTTTCCATTAAGAATGAGTAAATAGGGTTGTTTATTTTGTAAGCAGATAAGTGTCCCATGATACACATTTTTTTAACGGCTAAGAGAACCATTTGGGAACATAAAGGCTGACAAAATAGATGATACTTGTCTAATTGCTCCATTGACACATTTTTAAGGTCTGTTTAACTGGTGTAGATAGACTTTTCCTTAGGTTGTTTTGGTGTGTTTTTTAGCAATAAGCAGTGGGTACTTGAAAAAGATTTGTGCTTAAGTGAATTTTATTTTTCACAATCCTTTTATTTTCCTCATTAATCCCACATAGAGGAGAAATGGTAGGAAAGAATAAGTGTAAAAAGCTACGGAATCCATTAAAAATAAAGGCAGTTATATTTGCATTTTTTAATTAGAAATAAGCCACTGTAAGGGTACAAAGTCTTTATCTGCCTATCCCTCAAATATTGATATAAAAAACTAAAAGCAACTTCCTGGGGAAAGTGTGTGTGTCATGATTAAAGATGTTCTGTTGAAGCAAATCAAGATCTTGGCCTAATATTTTTGCTTCTGTGTGAGGAAACTGGCCTCAACAGCGTTTTAAATATGGAGTTTATTATCAATGCATAGGAGCTTGTTTCTGTCCCAAAAATACCATTGGATGTGTTTTAATAGAAGGGTAGAGATACTGGAGATAATTGTTCTTTGGCTGTTACTAGTTTATTATATTATTTTTTAAGATTAATTTTAGTACTTTCTAGGAAAAAAATGCTGTCATTGTGATAGATCACATAGAATCTGTTGTTGTTGTTGCCTATATCTTTTATTTCTTTGCTTTATTTTTTATTCCTTACTAATTTTTTACCTGTTGGTCTCTTTTTGTTGATTTCCTTACAAGTGCTAACTAGACAGGTTTTAAATATGCCACGGCTTTCATGTTGTGTGACACCTTTCCTTCTCATCTGTTTGTGCGTTTAATAACAATTCTAGCATTATCTTTATACAGAAAAATTCATGCAACATTGGAGAAGCACATACTTATTTGTTTTTTGCAGCTCACAGTATGCAAAGAGCAGGCTGCTCTAATCAGTGAAGTCTGTGAAGAATTTTGGCAAACTAACCATAGACTGCATTCTTGCAATTCATGTAAAATAATACTTTGTCTAGTAATTTTTCTGGTTTTAGGGTTTTTTTGTTTTTTTAAACTCTGAGATTTTGTCTGTATCCACTTGTTTACTGAATGAAAGCTATCAGCTTTAGGGGGGAAAAAATCAGACGTTTAAAGTTTTTAGTATCCAGTTCATATCTGATAAAATGGAGGCACAAGGTATGACAGCACTGGAGTATGCTAGCTTGAACTTTTTTCTAGCATGTGACTTGTGATTAGTTTAGTAATGCTCAGTGGCTCTACTTAAAAGGAAATGGTCTCTTAGAAGCTTACTAATTCTTTTAAGTACTTTCTTTTGTTTGGTTGAGGTTTTTTGTTGTCGTTGGCTTTTTTTTTTTCTTTATGTCAAAGAGGAGCAATATAAAAGAATATCAGCCATGGATGGTAATTTTTGGCACCCCTCGATGGGCTATGAATTCAAATGAAAAATTAATATCTGGTCAGAGTTCCAACTTCAAACATTGATCAGTCAAGTATTTCTGAATATTATTTTCTCTGATTTTGAGACTGAGATAAGGAGAGAATGCAAAAACTTCTGGCAAATATTAAATAGAAAGCAAATTCCATAAAATGGTGCCAGTGAATTAGTATAAATAAATGCATGTATAGCCATAGGACAAATTACCTTGGAAATGGTACTTTCTGTAATAGATGCCCATTCTCTTTCACCTTGTTTGTCTCTTCTTTTGATTTTTATATTTATTCCTACCTTTTTCTTTCCACCCTATCTTTCATCATGTTACCTGTCTGTTAATATTCTACAAATATTTCTGCTTTTCAAGCCCATCAGGGACTTAAGTTTTTAAAGTATTACCACCTGTCAAGAGTGAATTTTTTTTCATTTGGATGAGAAAAGTTGGCCTCATACCTCCTACGCATCAATTTCCTTACCGTTTAATGGTTCTTTTAAAAAATATTTTAACCAATTGTTATATTTTTAAAACATTGCCAAATAAAAAGGGAATTCAGGGATAAACAAGCTCTAAGTTGTGTAACTTTTTTGTTATGTTGGATAAAATTAAACTTAGAATCTTGGAGAACTTAATTCAAAGCATGAATAGAGAATGTTTTTAAGACCTAGAATTCTTCTGTTATGTGAAAGTTATCAATGGATATTTCCATATATAAATGGAATTTTAAAACTCTGGTTTGGTTAAAAGAAATGGGCCTGTTTCACGTCATGCACTTAATTTTATTTTCTCTCTGACTCAGCCATGGTTTTCCTTCCTTGTGGGTATGTTCCAGCATCAGTTGATCTTGGTGGCAGTCTTCCCTTTTGGCTTCAGAGGTGTAAAGTCATTCTACAGTGATTTGAAAGCCTTCCAAGTACATGTGCCTGACACGGGAAACAGCCAAGTTAAGAGAGAGCATCTACATAAATGTAGTATAGGAACAAAAGCAAGTTTTCTTTTCTGTCAGAGTTCCAATGACATTTGGTATACCATGGATATGACAAAGAAGTCATGAAAGTCTGTTAGTAACTGAATATACACTGTGGAGCTACATTGTTAATGTGATTCAGAAGAACATCTTGAGGCTTTTACTTTTAAATGCTTTGGAGTTTAGCTACAGGATGTTATGTTGTCCCGTGATACAAAGGAATTTTTAAAATATCCTACTGAAACAGTCTGTATGGTGGCCACTGATCATGATCTTGGCATTTGAGTATTTAAGTTTTTTCTGCTGTTCTTTTGGTAAGGAGAGAGACAGACTAATTTATGTTAGTGCTTTATAATTAATGTTATTCATATTTTTTGTAATGATGCCTGATTGAGAAATTGTACTTAAATATAGTTGTGTTTGATATGTGAGACAGAACATGTGATAGTTTATCTAATTCAAAGGCTAATTTATTGATTACATGGCAAGAAAATAATAGTAATAACATTTTGAGCTTTTTTCAAAGTATGTATTAAAATAAATTTAAGAATGCAGTTACTGAGTAGTAAAGCTATGATTTATTTATGAGGGTAGTTCAAATGAGTGCTAGTAAAGTAAGCATACTTTGTGAAGTATTTGGTAAGTGCTAGGCATGATAGGTAAAAATTCTTCACCATTTATAGGTCAGTTCTTAGACTTCTATTCGTATAAATTCCATCTTTTCTCTCATGAACTGAAGTCATGCATGACTCTGAGGGAGTGACAGTAAAGTCACAAATTACAAAAGTATTCTGTCTCGTTAAGAATTCTTAAATAATCTGAACACTGACGAAACACCTGGGGCTTCTGACAATTGGAAGATCCTCCAAAGGTCTTGAGATGCTGGATTTGATTTTTGTGAATGCATATTTACTGTTTTTTTTCTTGAAAACCTGTTCTTGGTAAAGTAAGATGGGGGGAGGTACCCATGTACAGTATGCCTCAAAAATCCAAGTGTGTTCCTCGTAAAGTTGACTGTCAGCCACTGGTATGTGGGATTCTGGGCAAGTTTCAGCAGTTCAGGCTGGAGCTTGGTGTGGATGCCCTTCTGGAGACGGGAGAGCAAAGTTTGGGAGTGCACAGGGCTGCAGCAGGAGTGCAGTGCAGGGCCCTGTCAGGAAGGGCACCAGGGACAGGTTCCCAGTGCTGCAGTGGCAGGGCAATGCTCAGGCGCTGTGCTCCATCCCAGCTGTGGAGGGCATCAGCAAAGTGGAAGAGTTTTTTCCTGGAGTTGCTGTTGAGGTTTCCTCTCCTGGCAGCTGGAAAAGCAGTGCTTTGCAGCAAACAGATAATACTTTTGAAAAGAACAATTAATAACTTAGTAGTTTTGAAGGAGAAAGCAACTCGAACTGAGAATAAGCGAAATTATGCCACAGAGTGAAGTACTGATGTGTACTTTCTTCCTACCATCATCTTGCTGCAGATCACAGTTCCCTTATTAGCATTGCCTGGTGTGGTGCTCATGCTTCTAGTTCTGTCACTGCAGCATTCTTGGACTTTCACCTTAACTAGAAGATAACAGCTTGAACTTATTTTTGTGTTTAATGTCAGTTTTTTCAAGGATATGAAAAAAATATTAATGGGTAGGTTCTTTATCACAACTTCATAATTTTAAACTGCTTCCAAATTTGAGTCATAAATTAATAAAGTCTGTCATATATGTCTGTCTGCATATGACTGGGTAATTGTAATAACTTGTTTTTGTAGTGGATGATGCTGGTAAGATAGAACACGAAGGTTCTGCTGAAATTACCATGGAAGCAGAGTCAGAAAGTGGCTCTTGTAAAGTGGATGGCATTTGTCCAGAAGTCATCAAGGTCTATATATTCAAAGCAGATCCTGGAGAAGACGATTTAGGTAAAATACACTTGTTTGAGAATACTCCAACCTGACACTTGAAATTTTGCATGAGACTGTGGTTTCTCTCAAGTGGTCTGTAAAGACCTGTGAGTTTGATACTAAAGAGTTGACAAACTTCCAGTTTTTTTGTGGTTTAGCATAGATTTTGGTCAAGTGTATTTAAAATATTTTGCTCTGGTCTTCCTAATTAGGGGGCACAGTAGACATTGTGGAGAGCGAGCCAGAGAATGACCACGCAGTTGGATTGCTCGATCAAAACAGCAGTATTCGTATTCCAAGGGAGAAAATGGTTTACATGACTGTAAATGATTCTCAGCATGAAGACGAAGACTTAAGTAAGTAGGTGGCTTTCCTTTGGGAACAGGGATTTTCACTTTCAGCAGTGCAGCATTCCTATTTTTTTTTAACTTCTTTTTCTCTTAGATGTTGCAGAAATAGCCGATGAGGTTTATATGGAAGTGATTGTAGGAGAGGAGGATGCCGCAGCTGCCCATGAACAGCAAATTGATGACACTGAAATTAAAACTTTCATGCCCATAGCTTGGGCAGCAGCTTATGGTAAGTAATACTCAAAAGGATTATTATTGGTGACACAGAGGCAAAGTGCCAGGGATTGGGTTTTGGAGGATGTCTAGAGTATTTGTGCTTTTGTGTTTGTTTTTAGGGTTTTAGTTTAAGAGTGGTTTCTTAGCATAATGAGCCTTAAAAAGAAAGGAAGAGGGAAATTGTTAGGCTGACTACTTCTTGCTCCTATTTAACAGGCATTTTCCTTCATATTTTCATGATGTGAAGGAGGAAATACATGAGCTTCCACTTAAAAAATTGAATCTCAAGTACATCTGTTCCTCAGAGTTTTAGGACACAGTGAGAGCTGGCTTGGGAGTAGAACTGAGTATTTTTATTGGGGGGCAAAAAAAGATGGCAGATGGAAATATTTAAGATTAAGTGTAGCAGTGAAAAGCAGCACTGAGCTCTAGCTTGATTTAGGTGCTTTCTAGAAGGATCATATAAATATGTGATTTCACTAATGGCAATAATTAATTGATTAATGACAAGAAGTTGGAGGGAGATATTAAAATTGTAGCAGAAACTTGAGGGTATTTCCAGCATGTAGAACTGTTTTTCTTGATCATTGGCATGTGAACACCAGCTGGTGCCCACAAACTGATTTCCCAAACTTTTGTAAGCTTAAGACCAGAATTTAATCTGAAACAAATGGTTCTGCGTTGCCCCTTTCTCCTTCTAAACAAAACAAAAGAAATAGTGGAGTAGGAGACAAAACTTACACGTCTGCATGATGTGGATTGTGGTGATGGTGCCAGCAGGTAGTGTGCCGGGAATACAGTGGGGGCTGGAATCTTGGACATTAGTCCGGAAGAGCAAGATTTCAGGGAGCAGTGTGTGTTTAAAAGTTACTTAGGGGATGGATGGTAGTGCACCCAAAGCTTTATCTTAGGCTATATACTGGTGAGCCCAGTTTGAGTGAGAAGGAAATGACATAAGCCAGTCTGAGTGGGCATTAAAAATGAAATTGAATGAACTTGAAAAGTTGGATACTAAACATTCAGTGATTTTGGAGGAGGAGGAGAAAATTGAGCAGAATGTATTAAAAACGGTGAGATGGAATTGAAAGGAGAATTTAAGAATTTGGGAAACAGTGGAGTGGTTGCACTGTCAGCAGTAAGCAACCTGGCCTGCAGGGTGAGAGGTGGTGGGGACAGGGAGAAATAAAGCATGGCCTGAAGGCCTGAAAATGGCAGAGGAACATTTGAGCTAGCATACAGATGAGAATCTTCAGGCTTTGCACATGTGCCTGGCTCTGAGTCTCCTTACATTAATCATGAATATTAATTCTCAGCACTCTATGAAAGGAAGGCTGTTGAGCATTTTGCACTTTCTTCCACTTGAGTCTTCCTGTCTTATTTGTGTGCTTTGCTTTCACTAGGAAATGTTGGCTTTTATTGATTCAAGTAAATAGTTGACCACAAAATTTATTATTAGAAGTTTGCTTATGCCCTTAAATCACCAGTGTTAAACTGATTGCCAATAAATACTATCTTGAATGTATTTGTAATTTTCATGTTTGTTTCACATGCAGTGATACCATTTGTGTATTAAACACAAAGCTCTATGAGGCAAAGATTCTTTCCTTCTTTCTGTTACACAACACTGAGCATGCTCTATATTGCCAGTAGAGTCTGTAAGTGCTAAAGCATCAGGTGTATAAATAGTAAGTAGTGTACTTTGTTTGCCACTTTATGGGCTGTTCAGAAGGATTCTTCAGTCGCAGCTCCAGTTCAGAAACTTGGTGTGTGACAAACTTCAGTCAGGTGAATTCAGACCTACAGAAGTGAATGAGAGCTCACACACAAATGTATTTCAGGACTGAAAAGAAAATTTGGCACAGTAAATACTGTGACATGCTATTATTTACCAGTGTTAAACATTTTGGGTATAATTTACAACCAAAGAGATTTTAAAATGCTGCATTTGAAGGATAATTCTCTGTGTAATGAAAAGCCATTAATTCCTGTACATTATGTACTCCTGTAAAATTAGGTTAACAAAGCTAATGCCCATAATACCAAGCATAATTCCTAATTTACATGGTGAGACCTTTTGCAGCTTATTCTGTACATGATTGCAGTTTGATTAAATGTGCAGATAATAATTAATCGTTTCTGTTGCTACCATTGTAGAATTTGAGCTCGAATTTGAGCTGCAGTGTTGGTAGGTAACGTTTTAACTTCCCTTGGTAGGTAATAATAACGATGGCATCGAAAGTCGGAATGGCACTGCAAGTGCTCTTTTGCACATAGATGAGTCATCTGGACTTGGGAGATTGGCCAAGCAAAAACCAAAGAAGAAGAGGAGACCTGAGTCCAGACAGTATCAGACAGGTGAGTATGTGGTGCCTGGCTCTCGTTCATCCAGGCACTTGCCCATGAACAGATGTATGTGGAGTGTCTTGTAAAAAAGAGACATTTGGGGAATTACTTGGTTGACAACACTTCTGCTTTATAAATGAGTGCATATTTTATTTTACAAATTTTAAATATATGAGTGATTTAGATTGTGGCAGGTGTTTTAAAGGAAGCCATCTCTAACACAGGAAAAAGTATCATAGCAAAAGGTTAAAAAGCTATGTACTTAACTTGCTACACCCATTTTAATGTTTAATGTAACTTCTTAAAAGTTATTTTAGATAAATGGTATTCTGTAATACTGCCTTTTAAAAACTCTTGTCTTTAAAAAAATAAGTTGTCGTTACTGAAAATGTACAGAACAATGCATTTCATTATATAAGCTCAGTAGGTAACTGGAAAGTCTGAATATATATAATTATATATTAATGTTCAGTTGTATAACTTCTATACCCTTTCCTGTTTTAATGGTAAAGTAAAATTGCCTTGATGTTTGTGCCTATCTTTTTCCTTTCATCTGTAAGAACAGAAGTGCTCCATGGCATAATTTGGTTTCTTCTGTTACTGTGTTATGGTCAGAATATTTATTTGGTTTGATAGCATTGAAAAAAACACGACTTTTTTCTTCAGTGTCCTTGCCTTAAATAATACTGAAAGTTTCTTTCCAAATTGTGACCTAACTGTAGGAGTTCTGTTTTGTTTAGCTTGAGTTAGAAAACTATGCAAATTAAAGTTGGCCTTTTCTATTTCCAGCTAGTCAGTTCTCCTTATAAAACATTTTTGGACAAGACAGCTTTTTAAACATGCCTAGGCAAATTCAGGGTAAACAAATCAGGGTGATGGATGAGTGCAAATAATTTCCAAAGCTTTCAGGTTTCCGTATGTAAAACATGTTCTCATTGATTCCTGCTTGGTACCTCTTCAGATTGTAGCTGTGACAGATGGCTTAAGAAGGAGGTGTTAGTTTGGGGGCATCTGAATTGTAGTCAGTAGTAGGTGATTAAACTGCCAGATTAAACTTTTATCTACAGATTTGTGGAGAGTCAAGCGAAGATCATGTGCTTTGCTTACTAGATGATACTCAGTTTAACAAGCTGGCTGCTGTTCTTTGCACCAGCTGTTGGTTTTCTGCATGTATTTAATGTGTGAACTCAGTCAGAATTCTTCAAAATAGAATTAATTGAGGTGAAGAACGTTTTTGGTTGTCTCCATCAAAAAACTGTTTCCTTTCTCTTAGTAATAAAAATGAGTGCAAGTAGTAGTTCCCTCAGTTTCTTCTGTGTAACTCAGTAACAACCTTGTTTATTGTATAGTAAAACGTATGTGTCCCATCTTTCTCAACGATTCATCTTAATTGTTAACATCTGACATTTACTGAAGTGATGTATAATATTGATCAAGGGGTTTTTTTGTTGTTTTTCAGCAATAATCATTGGCCCCGATGGTCATCCGTTGACAGTCTACCCCTGCATGATTTGTGGAAAGAAATTTAAATCCAGAGGTTTCTTGAAAAGGCACATGAAAAACCACCCGGAGCACCTTCTTACTAAGAAGAAATACAGATGCACAGACTGTGATTACACTACCAATAAAAAAATAAGTTTACATAACCACTTGGAGAGTCATAAGCTGACCAACAAAACAGAAAAGCTTATTGAATGCGATGAGTGTGGGAAAACCTTCTCTCATGCAGGAACTTTATTTACTCACAAGATGGTGCACAGGGACAAAGGAGTTAATAAAATGCACAAGTGCAAATTCTGCGATTATGAGACAGCAGAACAAGGGTTACTGAGTCACCACCTCTTGGCTGTCCACAGCAAGAACTTTCCTCACATTTGCGTGGAGTGTGGCAAGGGGTTTCGCCATCCGTCAGAGCTCAAGAAGCACATGCGGATCCACACTGGTGAGAAGCCCTACCAGTGCCAGTATTGTGAATACCGATCTGCCGACTCTTCCAACTTGAAAACCCACGTAAAGACTAAACACAGTAAGGAAACGCCCTTGAAGTGCGATATTTGTTTCCAGACTTTTTCAGATACCAAAGAGCTACAGCAGCACACGCTTATGCATCAAGAAAGTAAAACACATCAGTGTTTGCATTGTGACCATAAGAGCTCAAACTCGAGTGATCTGAAACGACACATTATTTCAGTCCACACAAAAGACTATCCTCATAAGTGTGATATGTGTGATAAAGGCTTTCACAGGCCTTCAGAACTGAAAAAACACGTGGCAGCTCACAAAGGTAAAAAATTGCACCAATGCAGACATTGTGACTTTAAAATTGCAGATCCCTTCATTCTGAGTCGACACATACTCTCAGTTCACACAAAGGATCTTCCATTCAGGTGCAAGAGATGTAGAAAGGGCTTTAGGCAACAAAACGAGCTGAAAAAACACATGAAAACACACAGTGGCAGGAAAGTTTATCAGTGTGAGTACTGTGAGTATAGCACTACAGACGCCTCAGGCTTCAAACGGCACGTGATTTCCATTCACACAAAAGACTACCCTCACCGGTGTGAGTATTGCAAGAAAGGTTTCCGAAGGCCTTCAGAGAAGAACCAGCACATTATGCGACATCATAAAGATGTTGGGCTGCCTTAGTCTCTTTCACAGACTTATGGCTGGAATTATAAAGGAAATTTGCCTTTCAGGCAGTTAGCTTATTTTAAAGCCAATCACCTGCGATCACACACACACAAAAAAAAAACAACAAAAAAAATACTGTGCATTTGATTTGTTGCTGTATAAAAATAGGATTATTGCTTGTAGTTGACTTTTATACCTTTTGTTCAATAGCGTGTTCTGAATTCTATTCAGTTTGTTTAATAAATGAAGAAAAGATGGCAACAATAAAGTTGCATTTAATAAAGTAAACCCTGTCTCTTACTGAATTTTTCAACCGTAATAGTTTAAGTATATTTATCTTACTGACCTCGTTGATACTCACAGTGTCCATGTTAATGCAGTTTTGTCGTGAATTTTAAAAATACAAAATTTCTCTTGATAAAATTGTCAGAGGTGTGTATAAAATGGGGAATTGTCATGTTGACAGTAAAGTCACTAGGGCCCACCTGATTGTCCTGTTTTAACTATACAGACTTTGTGGCAGGTTAACTATTTTCCGGTTGAGGAGTTACAAGTCTCATGTCGTGTTTTCATTCTGGTTTCAGAGAGAAAAATATTTTAAAAAATGGTTTGGGGCGGTTTTTATCTTTCCTGGGCAAATTTAAAAGTATGCGCAAATATTACATTTATTGTTCTGTGCTTCTTTGTCTTTGAAAGGTTTTGTGTGTTACAAAAGAGTTGGGTTTTTTCCACTTTACTCCTGTCTTAAATGTTGGAAACGTAAAGTACTCTTGTTCCATTTGCAGAGTTAACAATAGATCACACCTGTCTGTATGTGCTGGTAAACGTACCTCAAACTTTATGCTTTTATGTATGTTGGTATTTCTTTGAAAGAGCAGTTTGTGGTTCAAGTCACATTTTTATTGTTAGTTGTTTTAGAATAAAATTTACGACCAAGAGGTGCCTCGATTTTGGAAACCAGATATTTGCAGTGAGAGCTTAAGAAAGGAATGGAGCAGAGCAGATGACTTCGTAAGGAGTAGAGACGTTGTAACATAGATATCCTTAATAAGAGAAGTAACTTATGATAGATGCAGTTCTGTTATTAAATTTAATGTTTTTCCTGAGCCATTAGGAGCTGTGTTCAGCTGCTGCTTATTAATTAGTACAGTATCCAGAATTAACCCAGTTCTTTTAATCTGTTTATAAACAGCTGGGAGAATATTACAATTATTAGATGTAATTTTGCCACCTGAAGACTATTATAAAGTAGCTCCATATCATTTGCTAATTGCAGTGTAAATGTACCAAGCACAAAGTCATGTGCTTTAAGAACAACCTTGAAGCAAAAAGCCCAAACCATTTTAATTACAGGCCAGATTTTAGGACCTGGCCCTGCTCCCCTTGGTCAAATTCCCACCCCAGCCGCTGTTTGATGATGGATTGCAGAGTTCAGTCCCGGCTGTCTGCCAGATGAAGATAGATTTGTAACCAACAATCCACTAATGGAAAGGCTTCAGAGCCTGGGCCAGTGTTAATTCCTGTTTCTAGGCAGGTGATCTTCCAGTTGAAATCAAACAGGAATTTTAGTGATGGTTTCAAATCTGGGGTGATAGAGGGAGAAAGGTTTCCTTTTTTGGATGTGCATCTTTTAGGCCTTTTGTATTTTGTCTTGTTACCGAGCCCTGCCCCTACTGCTCATCCCTCCTGTGTCACTGTAAGCTGAAATTCTTGTCTGTAGTGTGCAGTTCAGGAGAATCCAATGCCATGTCACTGCCTGTGTTGTATGATGGTTTTTTCTTTCTTTGCCTGCTTGCAGTGCCCCCAGACTTGCCAGGTGTGCTCTTGTGTAATATTGCTACTAGCAGGCCGTGACCCTTTAGCGTGTAATTCCTGGCTGTGCTGCCTTGTGCCTTCCTTGAAATCCCCGCTGAAGCCAGTGGATTTCCTACATGGCTGTAGTGTCCGTTGCCTGCTGATGCCAAACCAGATGCAGTAAAACCCAGCAGAGATTCTCACTCGCTTCTTGCAAAATACCTGCCTGTGACTACTTTTTTTTCCTCTCTTATGTTCAAGCATTTTCTAACTGGAAACCTGGAAAGTGTACAAAATCTGCATAAATTCCCATAGTAGTGCTGAGGATTTTTAGCCATTTTGAACTTTATTTTTTTAAATAAGCTGAAAGACAAAGAACACAATTTTACACATTTTCTTTCTCTTACGTAGCCTGGAATCATACACACTTTTTTTTTTTTTTTTAAAGCACAATGTTGAAACTTTTTTTTTTTTAATAATTAAGGGTTTGGTCAAGTGGATTTTGTAAAATGTATTTGTCTGTATAAAGAGAAAATGAAATTATAGTTATTGTTAATGTACTGACATTAGTTACAGGTTAGTTTTAATTCTTAAATAATTTGCTTAGCAAATGCTATAAAATGGATGTTTCAGTTTAATGTTTAAAAAAGGTACAGATTTTTACAAGGACATAATATAAATTATTGTTCTGTAGAAAATACCCTGTTAAATATTGTATATGTCCTTCCCTCTGTACACTTTGTAAAAAAGACAAAAGAAAAAAACAAAATACATAGAACCATATAGGGATGTGTGACATTATTGTAATTGTGTACTTGATAATAACGTGAAAAATAAAATTCAAAATATTTTCCTTTTAATGAACGTTTAGTCTATTTGATGCCAGTTCTGAAATGGAGCCTTGTTCTGAGGGACACAGTCATCTGCCGCTCTACTTTAACTTCCCTTCTGCTCCCTGCTCTTCGGCTCATTTTGTGTAGTACTGGGGCAGGGGCGATTCAGTCCCTGCTGTGGATGAAACGTTCCTTTACCTGGAAGTTTTCACGAGTGAAAGGGATGGCAGGTCTTCGAAATCCATTTTAATGCCTGGTTTTATATTAAAGAATTCACATCTGATAAAGCCTTTGTGTTTTTCAGCAAGGTGGTTACCTACTAAGTGCTGCTACATTGTCCCAAAGCTCCTCACCAGACCTTGAAACAGATGAGAGGTGCTGCTGTTGTTGGGACTGAATAAATGTTTCCTGCTGACGCTTTTGCCATGTGGGCCTCAGCAGGAGCCCAGCTCCTCCTCTTCCCGGTGGGATGGGTGAGCATGATGCAGCTCCCCAGGGAGGATCCTGAGCTGGGCCTCTGCCCAGCTTCTCCACCGCTGCTCCCTGTGCAGGGCAGGCCGGCTGGGGGTGCAGAGGGCTTGTGCCTGTTGTCCCCACTGCTCTCCAAATGCTTCAGCCCAGTTAAACCCAGCTGGGCGGTGGGAGGCGTGGGAGCTCCTTTGGCAATGCTCTGGCACAGGCCATCCTGCATTGACAGCACGTCACCCAGCGGCAGCCCGCTGGTCCCATGAGTGGCAGAGATGCTGCTGAGTGTCACTGCCCTCTCTGCACCTGCCTTCCAAGGGAGGAGGTGGTGTGTCTGCTGGCCCAGGTACCTTCAGGACATTTATACCAGTTAGTTCACTCTCACTGGGACCTTTAGGAAATGCTGACTTACTCCTCATCTCAGTGATTCAGCCCCACTGACATTGGGCAACTCTGTCACACTGCAGAGCCAGCAATCTCCCTTTGATTTGGTTTTTTGTTTCCTCCATCTACCTGATGTTCCTCAACCACTCATCAGGAAATTTTACATTGAGTACCAGAGACCAGGTCACTGGAGAAGAAATGCGCCCACTTCTGGCTGCATCATTCACCTGAGAGGAAGGGCCAGGAGCAGGCACCAGCTCTGGGCTCCTGCACAGTAGCAAGTCTCCCCCTCCTCTAGGATTTCCCCTTCTTCATCTTGGATTGCTGTAGCTGTTGAAGCCTCACTGCTCTGCTGAAGGATCCTCTTGCCCAGGTGCCTGCAGCCCACATGGGTGATTTCCTCTCACTGGGACACAGTAGCCAAGGCACCCAGAGCCTGGATGTCAGCCTGAGAGTTCTTTAACAGCCTTTAGTTGCAAGCCAAAGGCTGTGTCACTAATTAGGAAAATAAGCAGCTACTCACTGCTATTCCCTGGCTTGTGAAAGTAGTAATTAAATAATATATAATTAATAGGAAATACAATTAATAGATTAATAATTAGGACAGGTAGAAAACTGACCAAGGAGGGGCTGGCTGGAACCAATAAGGAAGTGAGTAGAGGGGTTGGGGCAAAGAAGTGGTTGTTGATACACACAAATGAAAACCTTCCCCTTGGTTTTTGAGAAGTTTGAAGAGGAGATTGGTTGAGTTGGTTTCCTGTAAGTGATGATGCAGAAAAGGCAAGCGTTTTGATAGTTTATTCTTCTACAAAAGTAGCATAAGTATCAAATAATGCTGGGGATGTTTTTTTCCAGACCTGTGACAATTAAGAATGCTATAGGCCAAGAGCATTTAAAAACTACAAGCGTAGGTAGGTTCAGAGGCCATGTACAACACAGACTTTTATAATATTTACTGGAAATCCACAGATGTGGAAAAAATATTACTGTTCTATTGAAGACAAAAATTTGAGAATCATTTCATCACCAGCCCAGGCAAAATCAGGATTAAGAATTACAGCTGCTGGGACCAAGTAAAGAAGGGAACATAAGAAGAGTTAAAGACAACAAACGTATCCTGTATTACAGTTGGAGCACATATGCCCTAACTTTGAACAAACTCCTCCAGTGCTGTGGTAATGCAGGGTTGTGACAGAATAACTCTCCAGAGCCAAGCCCCACGTACCACCACTGCTCACCTCTGCTCTACCCCTCACCTTATTTTCTGCTGTGGTTTAACCACTGTTGGAGGTTCACTGTAATCAGCTCCACCGTGGAGCCATGGGTGGGGTGTCAAAACTTCAGACAGGTGACTCCCATTGTTGTGCTTGTTCTCCTGCCTCCTGGCTGGGGGATGTCTGTCAGGCCCCAATTCTCCTGTGCTGCTCAGGGGCTGAGGAGCCTGAGTGAGGCAATGTTGAGGAGCCAAGTGCTTGAAATCAGGGTTTTGATGAAAAAACTTGTGCTCTGTAATCAAAGCCCAAAACAAAGCACCAGCCCTGACGAGAGTGTTTCCAACAGGTACCACACAGGGTTCCTGCCCTAGGAAGCAGAAAGCCACATTTTGAGATTTTTATACTAAAGTCTAGCAGATTGGCTAGAAGCTCAAGGAACAACCTATGAGCACAGTGTCAGACAGGGCACAAAAATCCTGCCTTGTCCTATTTCGATTTCTTGGTCTTAGTTCAGCTGCTCACATGCAGACACAAAAGCCACCTATGACTGATTGTCTTGGGACTCCCAGGTGCTACACAGGTCCTGAGGGGAATCTACGCATGATGGTGCACCCAGAAACAAGTACAGACGAAAAGACACTTCATGACAGACAAAAGGACAAAACATAGACTTGATTTTTCTCCTGCGCTAGCATGAGAATTTTTTTTGTTAAGTCTGATACTGTAAAGTTAGTTCAAAGAAAACTAGGACATATTTTGTTTGACACAGCCCAGGAAAACAAAGAATGCTGGGATTGTATCCATTTGAAAGCATGAATCATAATTAACAAGCACTCACAGGTACAGAAGCTGGGATGTTACAGCCAGTCAAATGACTGGCAGAGACAGAGAATGCTAAGAATAAAGTAATGCTTTAAACAAGGAAAATTAATATATACTTTATATATTTACTCTGTTTTTAAATGTCATTATGGTATCATTAATACCGTTTTGCCTATCTATCATGGCCCTACGAAGAGAGCACTTTGGTTTCCTTATTTCCTAGGCTTTTAATGCAGCAGTTTTGCTGAAAAGTGTCTGGCATGGAGCAATGTGAATTCCCTGTGGGTAGTCAGAGCAATATCAATACTTGTCCAGACTCACTGAGCTCCTTTGCAGCAGTACCCAAAGCTGTCACCACACTGGACCAGTATCACAATAAACCTGACACCCCACAGCCCTACATTGCTATGCAAAAGTTCTACCTGCAGTGCAATAAACACCTTGCAGAAAGACCCCAGAAAGCCAGGATAGTGACACCATCTCATGGTGACTGAAGAACAAGAAGAGCCCTGACCTTCCAGCTTGGGGCTCAGGGCTGTCACCACAAATCCAGATACTTCACATGTGCAGGCACAGAGCCTGGGAAGGATCAGAAGAAGCCACTGCTGCAGAAAGACAAAAAGCCTGTGCTGAAAGTGTCCTGGGCCAGGATTTCTTGCAAGCCTGAAGAGAATCCTGGCAAGAGTGCAAGATTGGCTCCTGCATGAGGCTGGGGGACCACAGATCCATGCCACTGAGATCAGGTAGCTTTACCTGCAAATGCTGACCTAAACCTTCCCCACAACTTGGATATTAAGCACCTGCTCTGGCAAGGCTGGCAAGCAGGATCCTGGTTTGGACACTTTCCTGGAGTCCCAGTTTGTGCTGGGTCATGGGGCGTCCTGACAACTGCACACAGAGATGGAACCAGCCCCCTCTCCTCCTCTGGCTCTGCCTGCAAGGAGGAATGGCTGGCAAGAGTGGCTGAGAAGCACCTCTTTTTCTTACTAGATATTCCTTTTCTTCATTAGGAGCTTTTGAAATGAGCCAAAGTCACTGAAATGAAACCAAAATACCAGCCTGGCCATGTGTAGGAGATCAGTTACAAAAAGGACTGAATAAGAAAAGATTTCCTTCTTTCCTTACTTTACTTCTTCCTTTCTTTTCTTCCTTCCTGGAAAGGGTGCACCAGCAGCTAAACACCAGCTGCCTTGCATTTCCCAGTGTAGAAGACCATTAAAGCAAAGAGAAAGCCCTGTACATGCAGGGCTATCCCTGGCTTCTCAGGGAGGGGAAGGACTTGATTTACCACCTGCATTCAAATAAATACAAGTGGGACAAATTATGTCCCCCAGAATAAGCATCCATCTGTGAAATACACCAGTGCTTGAAAGACAAAAAGACTTGGCAAGTGATGCCTCTTCAGTATGACACCGCTCTTACTTAAAAGAAAACTAAATTAATGTGATCTTGACTCTGAAACTTGAGCGTGATTCCACATTACAGAGCAGCCTCTTAGAGTTGAGCTCCAAGTGCCTAAAAATAACATTTGTTCCCCTTCTTCTTTATTTATAATTTTTGGAAGAGCACACAACAAACTGTAATGCAAATGGCAGGTAACATGCAACTAATCCTGACAGCTCTGCCCATAGTAATCAGGAGGCTGTATACTAAAAGAGCACCTCTAAAGGAGAGAACCAATGCTGAGGGCACCATGTCCATCCTTTAGTCACCCTGGTGGCTTTTCCATGTTTGGATGCCCAGGGTCCCTCCTGGGGTGCGAGATCACCCCAGCAGTGCTGGGGATACCACCTCAACCACTGAGCCTCGTGCCAGCACACCTTGCTGCTTCCCTGCACGTGGGCTTTTCTTCTCCATTTCATGAGAGAGTAAATTCTTCTATCCAAAGCATTATCAGACCAGCTTACTAGTACTAAGAGGCTTGTGAGTCTTAAATCAGTGATCCTATTAGTGGGACCAATATTAAGAGCCAGTATCAGGACTCCTGTTCCCTATTAGGGGTGCCAAGTTCAAGGGGTAGAAATCACAGGGTTTCTTCTTGATTTTTGGTTGGTCTGGACAAGTTAAGCTCTGCTGACCGACCAAATGATGGCTAGGTCAGGAGTGCACGGCTCTGTTACAAAGGAGGAGGCTCCACGAGTG